GTTCGTTGTCGTCCCTCCACTAACACCGTCCATGTTGCCGTCACTGCTGACCGTTAAGTCCCAAACGGTCAGCAGTTAAACCCATCTCTCTTTGTTTTTTTTTTTCCACATATGCTGCCTCACTCAGCCAGCACATCAGCCATGCTGGTCAGGATCAACCCCATTTTATTTTTTAAGCTAGGCTCTAATTTTGATTAGTTTGAAACCGTCCGTTGAACACGGAACACAGACTGGTGGCTACTGAGCCACTGAGTCAACTCAAAATTCCACTGCATAAACTCGGAATTCGGGGTTTTTAGTTTAGACATCTTTGAGTTGGTTCCGAACAACTCGGGTAGAGCCAAGTCAATAGCTGGTCACGGCCTTGCTGTTATGATGCGGACCAAGAGGGTGTTTGGGGCTATAAAGGCTGTGCATGGACCCCGGGTTTCCCGTTCAGGGCGACGTCTGTGGCCGGAATCTGGTGACGAGTGTTCCCGGTTTAAGAAGAGCGCAGATGAGGTGGTGAATCAAGATCCTGAAAAATTGCAGGAGGATGGGGCGTCTTGTACCGATAGGAGGTATGGGCTTGTGTATACTCGAAAAAGAAACAAAATTGGAACTGGGGTTGCTGATTTTTTGGATAAAAAATATGGCTTACAGAAGAAGAGGAGTTCACTGAGGAGGATGAAAGCTAGAAATCCTTCACTCGGTGGTGTACACAAAGCTAGAGGACCTAGCTTTGGCCGCTATTTGCCTGCTCCCATAGTTAAGGTCATCCCAGTTCCTGGAGTTCGACAAGTGCAAGCCTTTGAGGATGTAGACGGTTTGCCCTTTCAGAGACCATATTCATATATCTGCATAAAAGCAGATCCTTTATAAGAGTTTTCATCATTTTTTGGTTAACCTTCAAAAATCATAGCACCAGGGCACTTCAAAATTTAGCATGTATTTGACAATTGTTTGGGAAAGCAAGCAAAGGAGATAGAACAAAAATAAAAATAAAAACTAATTTCTTCATTTAACCAGAAACTGCAGATCTATCAGTGCATGATAAACATCTGACCTCAGGCTTATTTTTGATTTGTTTGGCCCTGTGAGCATAATCCAGTGTACTTAAGGTCTCCTCCAGACAATGAACAGCTGGTGAAATTGTGGCTATAATGCACGTTTTGGTTCTTCCTCCGAGCGAATCACGAAGTAACCGAGTGAGCTTACTATCCCTAAAATTCAATTGAACAACGTAATTAGCACCAACAAGAAAGGAAAGGTATAGAGAAATCAAGAAAGGGACCAAGAAGAAATTCAAACCTGTAAGGTACATGGCCAAGATGTTCCACAAGAGCATTAATAACTCTCCCTAAAGTAAGTAAACTCTTATTAATTTCACCAGCTTCTCTTGCACGACCCTAATGTACACCGAAAGACGACATTAATCAGTTTCAGCAAAAATATAGATTGTTTTACTAGATGGACAATAAGTACTTACATCCCTAGCCCCAGAACGAGAAATATTTTCAGAGCTGGTGATCCTGACCAGCATGGCTGCTGTGTTGGCTGAGTGAGGCAGCATATGTGGAAAAAAAAAAAAGAGATGGGTTTAACTGCTGACCGTTTGGGACTTAACGGTCAGCAGTGACGGCAACATGGACGGTGTTAGTGGAGGGACGACAACAAACAAAAAAAGCCAAGTAGAGGGATGACGTTTTGGCTCTTTGGAGAGTAGAGGGACGACAACAAACATGACCTTAGTAGAGGGACAAGAACGAATAAAATATTAAAGTAGAGGGACGACAGTTGGCTTTAAACCGCTAAAAATTTCTCATGATTTGTCAGCTTTATAGGCCAAAGGCGTGTGTGGTTAAAGATAAACTTTCTTGAAAATTTCCTCAAAAAAAACTTTCTTGAAAATGTTTTAATTGGAAAAGTGATTGAAAAAGTTATTTATGTAAAGTTATTCAGTTTTGTTCAGTTTTGTAATTAGAATTTTGTTAAAATTTTATTGAGATATTAATTTTATTATATTTGATAAAAAATTAATTTATAAAAAATTAATATAAAAAATTATTAATTGTACATTTGAGTTAAGAAGTATGAAGAAAAAGAAAGGAGAGAGAAATTGTAATAAGTAAATAAATTAAAAGAGAAAATAAAATAAATGACTTTTTCTCTCTCTCTCTTTCCTCCCTTTTAATATTTTTTTATAATCAAATAAGAGAAATATTCATTTTCCTTTTTTTTCATTTTCTTTAAGTCAAATATGCTGTTACAAAAATTTTAAAAAAAATTATGAGTTAAAAATTATATTTAAAAAAATAAAAAATAAAAATTTTATTTTTATCTTTTATTTATTATAATTTTAAAGTGCATAAATATTAAAAAAAAACTCTGTAAAACTCTAGAGGTGATGTTTTTGAGAATAATTTACCAAATACACCCCAAAGTTGTCCTTAAAAATACAAAATTTGATTTGATACCTTCTAGCTAGAGACTAATAACTTATAAGCGAATATTTTTTTTAATTTTTAACTAATACAATAAAAGAAATGAAAATTTGAATTATCAAGATTTAAATTTTAAAATTTTAAATATTATTATACTTTTTAAAAGAATTGTAACTATTAAGTCACAATAATAGTTGGTAATTAACTTATTAGCCAATATTAAGCAAATAAGAGAGAGGCTAGGTGAATTTAATCAATTATTTGTCTTTTAACACTTAACCTTGTAAGCTAACTGACTAATAATTAGTTTTAAAAACACATTTTTATTAGAATAATATTGATTTAAATTCCCTATCTTTTAAAATTTATATTTGTTAAAAAAATAAATATTTGTCTTTAAGAAAAGGCAACAGCACTGCAAACAAAGGAAATCAATAGGACAATTTTC